CGGATTCTGCCGGTCATTTCTGCCAGTTCCATGTAGTCCATCACCTTCATCTGCCATTCTTCCAGGGTGGGTAGATCTTGTGTCTTCCAATACTTTGCGATAAGTATTCTTGCTGCTGTCGTGGCATACATAAAGAAAGTTCTATCCTTCTTTGGCACCAATTGGCCCACAATGCCACATTCTAAAATTCTCAAGCTGCCAGAGAAGAAAGCTGCATGTTATGACATATTCAATTGATGATGATGATGGTGACACACACTCAAGCAAAATCTACATTTATATGGCAAGAACTACATATATTCCTAAAGTTTGGGATACTCCAATCTGAACAGCCATAAATAACAGCAAGTATGAATGATGAATGGCTCCCAAAATCTATTCTGTGAATTAGGTTTGATGCCCTACATTTAAAGTCCTGGTTATAGAGATCAGTTTATGGGTGGCTTTTGATCAACTATATTTACACCATTGGTTTGCTTTATTAATGTGTAAACTCCTTTTGGACAAGGGCCCTTATTCATGGAGAAACTCGTTTTAGATTGGCAATACTGTAAGCAATACTGTATTATTGTGACTTTTGCAAATTGTTCTAATAAGTGGCAAGAGAGGCTGGGAGAGAGGAGAGAATGGGAACTCCAGCAGATAAAACAGCCTGCTGCAAGTCTGATGATTCCTCCTTCCAACTCTGTTTTATCTTATCCATTTCAGCTTTAAAGCCTTGATGTCCAAAGAGCTGGTTTTTATTTATTTATTTCATGAAGAGCAGAGAGGAAACTCTGCAACTTTCAAAACACATGTCACAGCATCTGGCTGCTTTATAGTCTTTTGAAGACTCTGCACTCAAAGCTTCAGAACTGTCCGTTTGGCTGAGGAGACAGCTGTGAAAGTACCTGGCTAAACCTGTCTGCTTGAACATAGTTTTCATACGAGTTAAGATTAAATATGAAGGGAGAAATGCCTTTAATCTTTAATTAATTCCCATCTCATGCATTGAGATCTGACTTCATTAATTTGGTTATTTGGGGGGAAGCTTCTTCAAAAGCAATGAAATGCATTGTTGAAATTGTTTTATAGTGCTGACATGACATGCTTCATTGAAAGAGAAAATGCCATATTCTTTGGCTCTAAGTATATATGTAAGATATAACTCTAGAAACATGTGCATTTAAGTCCAGGTTATCTTTGCCAGTATTCGTAGAAATGAATATGCCAAGATGATACCAGAAGGATAAGAAATCAGTGGTCCTCCTGATGTAGTTGGGCTACTGTACTCATAGCCCCAAACCATTGACTATGCTGGCTGAGACTGAGGTCAACATCTGGAGGGTCACAGTTTCCCCACTGTCATGACCATGTATCAGGAACCTTTGGAATCAGATTCTTCCTTCAGAAGTATATATAAGGAAGAGATGGATCCTGTTCTTTTCCACATGAACCCACTGGCACTGGAACCTGCATCTCACCCCCTAAACCCTAATGAGATAGATCTGCCACTGGACATCACAGACTCCTTGGAGGATCAGGGAAACCGGAGGTTCCTACAAAGAAGGCCCTGCAGCTTGAAACTCTGCTGCCTAGAAGCCCAGTGGCCACAGAAAAAGGAAGGCATTGGCCCTTTAACTAGCTAGCTGCAGCACTCAAAGCAGCTCTCCTGTCTAGATGACAAAGCTCTGCCAATTTCTCCAAGACTCTGCTGAGAGAACTTGCTTTTTCTGCCTTCAGGTAAACTATGGTCCAGGGCCAACACCTTGGTAATTGTCTGAGGTCCTAACCTTACCTTACCTTATCTGCCCATTAGTTCCAGAACCTCAGCTCTACTGACCTCCATCTTGCTTCAAACATCTAATCCCCTGGGCAGGTACCCTGATATGAGCCCCATGAAAAACAACAACACATAAGATATTATCAGAGAAACAGCATTGTTCCTAATTATAAATACATTCACAGTAGGAACATATGAAGATGCTTCATGTTGTATCACAAGGTTGGACCATCTAACTCACTGTTGTCTCACCATGAATACGGAAGGATGGCTCCTGTCTGAAACCCAAACATTGGGCATGCTATCAATGGCTGATGGGAGTTGGTCCAACCACATCCTTGGTTTACACAGATGACAGCAACTTCCTCTTGTTTCAGGCATGAATCTTTTCCAGCATCTTTGGAGATGTTAAGTATTGAATTATGTGCTCTGCCACTGACTTATGCCCTTTCCCTAAACTGCACTGGCAATTTATCACCTCTTTCTTGCCATGCCTTTTCTCTGTTTTCCTAAAATGCCTTTGTCATCTGTAAGTGTTTTGATAACATTCCCCATTGTTCTGTACTTCTTTTCAGTTTTTTTGCCCTCCCTTGTTGAAAATTAATATTATATATTTATTCCACACTGGCTCTTCTTACCTGTGTTGGCCTATGTAGGGGGCTTATTAAGTTAGCTATTAGGTACATATATTCCAGATTCCATTCTAAAACCCAAATTCCATCTTGAAGAGCATATCCTGCCTGATTCCTATTGAGCAGGTTGAGAAGGCATAGATTCTCAAGCAATTGGATGAGCATGCTTAGGATGATGCTTCATGCATTTCCATGAATCATGGTTTTTAGAAGGCCAATTCCAATATCGAGGTCAAGCTCAGAGCAGAAGATGCTTATGAGCAAAAGCAAATTAGTCATAATTAATCAGAAGTACCATATGTTACCCTCCATTAAGGACCTCTTGATCCATGCAGATGTATTAGGAAACTTCCTATGCATGCTCGTGCATTGATTTGCTGTTCAAGGCTGGCTCAAACTGTCCTGTAACAATACTCAACAGCGCCAGTTGGCACATAATGATCATGAAACAGACAAAGGTGTAAGTAGAAAAGGCTTTGTTCTCAATATGCAATTTTAAGTAATTATGTTACCAATTCATTGTGCAATTTTTAAAAAATGTCTCATTCCGTACCACAAAGGCTGAACCAATGCCCTAAGGGTTGGACACTGTGTACGGAGCACAAATAATAAACTGATGGTGAGCTAAAAGCACTTTAGCACTCCATTCTTCTCCTGCATGAGTGCCTTCTACCCCATAACACCTTCCTTATCCATATGGGGTTCGACTTGTCTCCCAGGATTTGATGGTGGTCTTTCAAGGGCCTCAGCCTGTTTCATCACTTGATATATCAACATGTGCTTAAAAGTTTGATGGAGTGTTGTGTATCCAATTCCTTAAGTTGTATTTTCAGAGAAAAGGGATGCTCTTGAAAAAATGATGGCTCTCTTGTATGTATATACTGAAGAGTGCCTGGGGAAACCCAACCAGATGGGTGGGGTATAAATATTATTATTATTATTATTATTTGGAGTATTATTTAAGCGTGACTTTGGCAATAGACAGTATGCTGCATTTTCAGTCCATCGTTCTGCACAAAAAAACCTAATGGCTTTTTCTCTCTCTTGGGAAGCTTCTGCCCCGTTGATACTTTGCAAATACTGTATCCACATTTCACTTAAAATGCATCATTAAGTGAGAATGTTCCAATCATTCCATCAAAGGTGATGGATTGAATTATTTAATAAAAATGCAATTAGTCTTTTTTGCATATTTGTCAAAAACCTGAGAAATCCTTTTCAGTTTTCTGTCATTAATTAATATTATCTTTAATTCCCAATTAGCGTGAATAGATTTCTCAGAAGACAGTGACATGTTGAATATCCATTTTTGAATGTTTGACCACATACCTTAACAACATAGTCACATTTTAGGTGGGGTTTTTTTAAAGCTATATTTCTCTACTTGAAAAAATATATATGGAAAGAAAGTATTTCTCTTAATACAAACCTTTAAGGACTCCTCCTGTTTTTTCCCCGGGGTGGGGGGGAGGAGGGCAGGATTGGTTTGGCAGGAGGATGAAACTGGCTGCAAATTAGATTCTACAATATACCATGTTCCTTATTTTTCAACTGATTAGTTTCATACTGTTGGCAGTAACTTACCCTGTTGAATTCAGCTTGGGATTTTGTAGCAATCTTCAGCACGGTGTTCAAACCCCTGAGGGATTGTGTAGAGATTCTGTCAAACCCTTTTCGGTGGATGTGTATTTCATTCTGTGGCTGTACTTTGTGCTCATTTAAAAGAACCACTCTTCAATTTGTAGCTGAACATTTTCAAAATGAAGTTTAGAGAGGCAGAAGTCTGTCACAATGGCCTGAGTATCGCTACTTCCCAGCATTTAATGGTCTCTATTAGTATGAATAGAGCTCCAGTTTCATCTTCTCTTGTTGCAATACCCTACGGTTTCACAATTTGTTTTCTTTTTTAAATAAACCTGCAAGATCTATACATGATCTACACATACTGCTAAACTCATCAACAGTGTTTCACTACTGAACCTTTTTCTTTCTCTATGATATGTCCATAGTTCAAAAGTTCTATCACATTGTCTAAGGGAGGAAGATTTTGTTCAGTATATAAAAATATATCTAATGTGAGTGGCATTTTGCTGGGTTACAGTTAGGTCTATTCATCCCAGTACTTTGTTTCTGAACCTTGGAGAATGTAGACAAGGTGCATCCACAACATGGATTTCTTAACTTGCAGGAATCATTCTATTTACCTATTCAACTTTTCAAACATCTACATTATGCAATCATGGGTTTTCCTTTGTTATGGTTGTTTTGCCTTATATTGTTTTGTGTGCACTGATTGAGTTATTGCATTCCACTGTATATTTCGTCTGTATATCTTTGCCTTTGGGGACTTTAACTGTAATTCTGATACTGCTACTGCTAATAAAAACTTATCCCCCTTTGGCGGAGGGGATGGCATTCAGAAAATAGAAAGCTACTCAGCAATAGATCATCAGGTGTCATTTGCACTGGCTTGCCATTTTTGTGCAAAATTAGACTCTTCCATTACAAGTTGTAGTTCCGAATGCATCCAATTCAAAATATGTAAACATTAAACAAGTATATTATATGCCAAAAAGTTAATTGCTTCTCTTCTTTGAAATCTACAGGTGTTACTTGGAAGATGGAGCTTCAAAAGGTGCCTGGCTGAACCGATCAAGTATTATTTTTGCAGGAGGAGACAAGTGGTCAGTAGATCCTCGAGTTTCAATTGCAACAGCAAACAAAAAGGAGTACAGCCTCCAGATACAGAACGTGGATGTCTCAGATGATGGTCCCTATACTTGTTCGGTGCAGACTCAACACACGCCGAGGACAATGCAGGTGTACTTAACAGTAAAAGGTATTAGTCACCCATTATATAGATATATACATTTTATAGATAATCATAAGCAATCTGCTTTTCAAAAGGAAATCTATTTGGCATTCTTATGTGCTGCAACGTCGAAACGTTTAATTTACTCTTGTTTGTCTATTTGTGTCCTTCAGTTCACTCATTGACTGTCTTTCTGATGCAATTAATGTGATAATTGGCTTCTCTTTGAAAGATGATCCCATACGAATGCTGGCAATCCCAGAGTAATACTGGGGAAATGGATAACTCTTCCCCAAGTTCTACCCAATTCCTCAGGCACACTTCAGTGAATGCTGAAAATTACATTTAGATAACTGGAGAGCATACATCAGTGTCCCACCGAGCTTGGGGGCAATCATAAAATGTGTCTGGGTTTGCAAGCAATGGCTTGTGAATCCTGACATAAGCATTTGTAAGCTACTCAGTAAGAATAGGACATGTTCTAGAAAGGTGGTAAACATAATCTCTATTCAGGCACTGAAGCACATGACAGGGAGGTCAGAGTTGGGTTTGCTGGGCCCACCTTCACTGGCATGCTCCCAATATCATTGTTGTCCATGCTTTGGGACTGAAGACCTGAAGTATGGAGACAGTGCATAGATGCCTCACACAGTTTAGAACCCTTATTATAATTATATGGGCCATAATGCCTCTGCTTGTGGAAGAATGCAAAATAATGTCTCTATCAAAGATCTGCACAAGAGGGAAGAATGATGTGGGAAAACATGGTCTTTCAATTAATATTGTGAGTGTACAAAGCACTAAATGGCTTGTTGTCCTAGCTCTGAAAAGAGCACCTCTCTCATTATCAGCCATTTTGAGCTTTATGGTTAGCAGCCTAGTTCTCAGAGATCTGGGACAAGTGATGGTTCCCCATTTGTGGAACGACCTTCCTAGTGCTGTCTCTCTCATTATTAAATTTCATGGGGGAAATTTGAAAATCCCTGTTTACCCAGACATGTGTTGCCTGAAATATGCTATTCCTGGCAACCTTGAAAAAACTAAGAGGCTCCTTTAGGAGGAAGGGCAGAATATAAACTTAAGATAAATGAGAGGAAAGTGGCGGTTTTAAACAACAACAGTAGTCTGAGTAAAGTAGAGGTAGAAGCACTCTAAGGGTTTATTTTTTTAAGTTTCAACAAGTTAATTGTTGTGCAACACAGAAGCTAACACGAAAAGCTAACAAAATAGAACCTTTCCCAAATCCCCACTTGCTCTATTCAAATTGTAGTAAAAAGTACCACTTCCCTTTCCTCAGTGTCACTCCGCTCACTCTACTCAAACCTCTGTCATGGTTTTAAATCAGCGTGGTTTTTCCCTCTCAGTGTCTCTTAATCCTCTGCTGTTGTTTGAAATGACCACTTTCCCCCTCCCAGTTTCTCTCCACCCCCGCTTTACTCTAAGCTCTGTTGTTGTTTAAAACCACCATTTCCCTCTCAGTGTCTCTCCCTTCTTTTTCACTACTGACAAACTTGCAACAGTAGTGGCAAATCACTAGTGCGACAGGGATTAGGCTAGGCAGCAGAAAATCGTACCTCTTTTGATGAACTAAGTTAGTTCTTCTAATGTCCATGTGTAAATGTAATTATTCCTTTTGAAACTGATTGGCATTTAAACCATTACTTGGAAACATTAATAAAGTGCAAGTGGGACAGATATCATTACCACCAAACAGGGTCAAACTGAAAAGAGAGTAAATGTCACTGAAAACAATGTTCTTTTCAGAGAGATTATCATCATTATGCAAAAACAAGCTGTCAAGCATACTGTTCTTCAGAAAAATCTCTTTCATCCTTGTCTTGTCAATGCAAGCTCAGATGCATATTTGAAGATTGCGATTTGCATGATAGGTTTGTAGATACAATGAAAATCAATTATTGGAAGGTCCTGGATCATTTCCATACTGAGCACTACTGATGCAGATATGGTGATGTGTTTTATTTAAAAGAGACTGCAGCTCTGTGTTAATAACCATCTCAATGATCATCCATTTCCCAATGCTTGTGTGCCCTCATTAACTATTCTGAGGGACAGGTGGTTTAGGAATTAGCAATGAGATGAGGGAAGCCTTTCATCTCCCAATCTGCAGTACAAATCCGGCCCTGCTTGGCAGTGACAAGAAGCTGAGACCATCTGATTGCTGTCCATAGCTTTCATGAAATGCCTCTTCATGCTGTCAACCCACTCTCTGTAGTTAAGTCCCAATAAAACACAAGCAAGCACAACAAAACAAAAATCCAAAACCTGCCACAAAATACCTCATGATTAGCAGGAGCCTCTGGATAAGAAATGATACATGAGGTGTATAAATAGTCTGTTTACAAAAGGTATATATATATATATATATATATATATATATATATATATATGCTTTCGTAGATTTTCACGGGTACAGGAATGCAGGTTTTGGTGTCCTCGGGTGTCTTCCCGTGTAAAAGTTGGGGTGTCTAGGCGACGTTTCGACGAGGTCTCACTCGTCATCTTCAGGCTGGTGCTTTCGGCTTCTTGTTACTGGAACAGAGCAGGATCTCAGTGTTTGAGTTCCTATAAATACTGTTGAGGGGGTGTGGTGTATAGCCTCCAATGTTCTGGGCAGAGAGGAAGTTCCCAGGCTAGTGTGCCTTTTCTTCTTTTGTTCCTTAATTACTTGAGGGATATCTTGAGTGATTTCTTGAGTGATATTCTGAGTACCACTTAGGTGGGTCATTAGGTGTGGATTAGTTGCTAAAGCCTTCGTGTCTTGACCTCTTGAACTTTGTGAAGAGTTTTTCTGAGAAGATGGCTGTACTGCACTTAGTTGTGCTCTGGCTTGGCTTCGTGTATAGGGGCGAGCTGTGGTTTTGTGTCCTGTGCCAGCCAGATCTGTGTAGGGATTGCAGGGGGGTGCAGCATCCGGAGGTGCCACCATGGTTTGGCTACTGGATGGTGTCTGTAATTTATCTGTGGAGAGGGTCTGGGTTTGGGTCTGGTGTGGTTGATTGGTGATGGCGTTCTGTGTGCCTCTGGATCTGGAAATTAGCCCTCCCCACAAGAGTAGATTCTTGGAGTGATATTCTGAGTACCACTGGCTTTGCGCACCAACTAAAGTTGCAGTACAGCCATCTCTCAGAAAAACTCTTCACAAAGCTCAAGAGGTCAAGACACGAAGGCTTTAGCAACTAATCCACACCTAATGACCCACCTAAGTGGTACTCAGAATATCACTCAAGAAATCACTCAAGATATCCCTCAAGTAATTAAGGAACAAAAGAAGAAAAGGCACACTAGCCTGGGAACTTCCTCTCTGCCCAGAACATTGGAGGCTATACACCACACCCCCTCAACAGTATTTATAGGAACTCAAACACTGAGATCCTGCTCTGTTCCAGTAACAAGAAGCCGAAAGCACCAGCCTGAAGATGACGAGTGAGACCTCGTCGAAACGTCGCCTAGACACCCCAACTTTTACACGGGAAGACACCCGAGGACACCAAAACCTGCATATATATATATATATATATATATATATATATATATATATATATATATATATATATCTGCTTTCTCATTTTGTGGCATTCCACTTATTGGATGTGCAGAATATCAGTAAGTTACATATGAAGCTGCCTTAACATAAATCAGACCTCTGAACCACTTTGTCCAGTACAGCCTGCTCCACCCTTCCTCAGTATGGTTCCTTCCAGATGTTTGGGGCTACAACTCATCGTCCCTAACCATTAGCCATGCTGATGAGAACTATAGTCCATAATATCTGGAAAGTACAATGTTGGGAAAACCTGATCTATTCTACCTGAGTGTGGCTCTGCCGGACCTCAGTCAGGGCCTTTTTATACAGAGAATAGTCTATGCTAAACGTGAAACTATTTTGTACTGGAGATGGCAGGGATTAATCCTAGGCCTCTGGCTTGCTGAAGGATGTGCTCTGCCATTTAACCTTGAATGTCACTTAGCCACAACTGAACAAAGAGTTAAGAGTAGGTTAAGCATGCTGAACGGGACGCAGGTGGCACTGTGGGTTAAACCACAGAGCCTAGGGACTTGCCGATCGGAAGGTCGGTGGTTCGAATCCCCGCAACGGGGTGAGCTCCCGTTGCTCGGTCCCTGCTCCTGCCAACCTAGCAGTTTGAAAGCACGTCAAAGTGCAAGTAGATAAATAGGTACCACTCCGGCAGGAAGGTAAACGGCGTTTCCGTGCTCTGCTCTGGTTCGCCAGAAGTGGCTTAGTCATGCTGGCCACATGACCCGGAAGCTGTACGCCGGCTCCCTCGGCCAATAAAGCGAGATGAGTGCCACAACCCCAGAATCGGCCACGACTGGACCTAATGGTCAGGGGTCCCTTTACCTTTTAAGCATGCTGAAATTGCTATGCTTGTGGGTCTATGCATCTGTATTGGTTTGCAGTCATTAGGTTGTATTCAATTAAATTTTTGCACTAGCACAACAGGATTTCCACTCCTTCCCCCCCCCCTGTGTGCTCTCCACACTATTCCCAAATCTGCTCCAGAGGTTGAAGGAATCCTCAGATTAGATTTAGTGCGCATGTGGAGGAAGGAGATGGGGATTACATTCCATTGTGTGAGAAATCTTTGTGCTGAAACAACATTCACTTTAGTGCTACATTGAATATAACCCATTGGGTCGGGGTGTGTGTGTGCAAGAATGGAGAAAGGAATACCAGGCATTATATGTTACTTTCCACATTGCTTTAACAATATGGAGCTGAGCAGGTTAGTTGTAAGGGACTAACAACATGGTTACAAAGGCTACAAGGAGAAGAAACCAGGTTACGGGCCCTCCCACGTGACTTCCACTTTCAAATATAACCACATTCTACACCATGCCACAGGGCAACAGAATGTCCATACCAAATGATTTCTGTAGCCTAACAGCTGGCCCTGAAATCCATCAAGGGACTGGTGCAGTTTGGTACTTTAGAGTATGTGCCATGATCTGAAAATCTCTGGTTCAAATGTTAGCTCTCTGATAAG